ATAGTTTACCCTTAAAATAAAATGGGTTAACTACAACCGTAGTCCTTCAAGTGTCTAAAGTTTCTAAAATTGAAAACTTTTAGAGTGTAGTTACCAAAATAGAATAGAAGAAAATAGTTGAGTGATGAATGGTGTAATTTACCTAATTTATAACAACAAGAATAAACGAAATCATTGGTCAATGATGGAAAACATCGGTCAAAGGGCTACATTGTGTTCTTTTTTCGAGTTGGAGGGCCACATCAATCCAAAAAATAGGATGAAGGTCACATTGATTTTTTTTTTTGGAAAGTTCAAGGACCTTGAGTGTTTTTTGCCATTTTTGTATTTTGTTATCTGTGACTTTTCACTTTTTTTTTGCAGATTAGACTCAATTTTATTTCACTTTTTTAAGTATATAGAAAACTTGTTTAATTTTCATTATTAATACCAAAGCTAATCGACTCCCAGACCCTTCCAAGTGAATCTCTGGTAAAATGTAGATTTGGTAAAAGGTAAAATTAGGTAACCTTACCTAATCCCAAAATGGTGGTGAAAACTCCAAAAAGGAAAAATACACTTTAAGTCAAAATGTGATCAAAAGTCGCCCGAAGAACCGTTGCGATAGCTTGGTGACTTCGCTGGGGAAACAAGAGAGTCAGACTAAAAATCGGTTACCAATTGTCTTATTAGGTGAAAGTTTTAAGTTTAGGTTTCAATTTATTTTTGATATTTTTTACTTACCTTTGAATATTTTTATTATTCAAATAAATAATTGGACTAATGGTTTTCTAATATTTTTAGCTTTGTTTTTATTACAAAAGACACTCATCTCAAGCTCTATACCAGAGCTCCGACCATTTTTTAAGTGGGGGTAAAAGTGACACATTCGTGAGAATTTATTCTCCGTGTTAGGCTCAACAAGTAGCCTTCAGGGTTCATATACCTTATGTCTTCATAGGAATTTATTCCTCGTGTAAGATAGAGGAATGTATCCTAGCAAGTTTAACTCGATCCACATAAGCATGTGATAGGTTTAAGATCGATAATCTGGTAGGCCTAAGGGGGCACTGGCAAGGAGAACTCGGGTCCTTTTCTAGAACCAAACTATGTTTCTGTGTGAGATTAGAGCTCACCATAAAGCCAGATTCAAATCCTAGGATACTCAATTGTTTGTTCTGCCTTAAATTTATTGTTCAAAGCATGTAAATAAGAAATATATGAAGTTATGATTTATTTTATCACAAAACATGCGAAATAAAAATCATGTTTGTTTAGGAACAAAAGCATGAGGGGTAGATATCCTGTGGTGTAAGAATTGTTATAATATTTGATTTTTAGTTATTAATTTATCATACCAACTTGTTTTCTTTTGTTTTTCTTTTTGTCTTTTATTTCTCTTCGTTTGCATCATTTCATAAAGGTATTGACCCATGAGATGTTTGCCAACTCCAAATAATTTTCATTAATGGAAAAAAGGGTTGTGATGTAAAAAATTAAGATTGTGGAGGTACGACAATGGTCAAAGAAGATTAAGAAAGAGAATGTGGATAGTTTGTAGGGTTACTATGTGTCAAAGATGGTTGGCTATGCTTCGATCAGTCCCAAGCAAAACAATGTCCATGAGTCGCAGAGCGTGTGAGATAGTTGGAAGCATGAGAAGAAACAAAAGTTCTATCAACGTTTTGATATCTTTGCATATCGACTTTATATGCGAGTGGATGATGCTTTAATCTGAGCCTTAGTCAAGGGTATCCACGACGTATCTGGTTATCACATTAACACAACTTCCATTATCAATGATTATGGAGTATGAGTTATCTTGTATTTTACATCTTGTATGAAATATGTTTGTTCTTTGTACATACGAGTCTTCCAATGCTTGTATACTTAGGATTTGCCTAATTATCAAGCAATTTCTATTAAAGCCATCACTATTTGAATTCATTGAGACACTTTTCTCAATAGGGTCAGGACAATTTGTATATGATTCTGCCCAATATGCATCATCCTCTCAGATAACCAGATTTCTCATACTAGGATAATCGTGACTGACATGACCATATCCTTTACATCTAAAGCATAAGGTATCTCTTATTCGAGACATTTTAAGGTTTTTGGTCATATCTTTATTAGCCACATTAGGCTTTTCCCTCTCAATTTTCTCTTTCTTGATCGCATAGAAGGTGTTGTAGAAGAAGAAACATAAGTATTTGAAGTAACTTGATAGTGTTCATTGAATCAAAATTTCATTAAAAGTTATCCTTCGATTGTGATTTATTTTTTCAATGTGTTTTCAAGGCCTTCATAATGGTGTAATTAAAAAAAATATAAATGATGTTCAGATTTAATCCAATGATAAACCAGGTAATTGTATATTCTTCATCTTCATTGATATTTGCACGATTGAGTGGGATTGGATCTCTTTGTAGTAGGGATTGTATCTATTTTTAGTAATCTTCCATCGAACTTCTACCTTGTCGTAGTCTATGAAGTATTTGCTTCACTTCATAAGTATAGTATGTAGGTAGAGAATGACTTCTCATGACTTCTCTAAATGATCCCCACGAGTCTATTGCAGGTATTCTTCTATAATTGATAGCTTTTCTTGTCTGCATCCACCATGTGAGTGCATAATCCGAAAATTCAATAGTGATGAGTGGTACTTGTTCTGAATTGTGGAATTCAGAACTTTAGTTTAGCAAAGAGTTCTGACATTTGAAGTCTAGGTTGTGCACGCTTAGGCTGCATCAAGTTGTTCAGATCTTCTTTCTCCCTTTGTTGATTATTGGCATTTTGATTTTCTTGTTGTGGTTTTTTATGTTCAGACTAGTCAATTGATTTGGAAGTGAAGCTACTTGTTGTTAAAGTCCATTAAGTATGTCTATTTGTCGAGTAATAACATTTATGATGGCTTGTATCATTACTTCCAATTCCTCATCTTTTTTCTTCTTGAAAGTCACAACACTCAAAAGAATAATTTATGGAAAGAATCAAAGAAGCATGATGTGACCTCCTAGACCCGGCAAGGGAATTACGATCGAACCTAGAGAATCACATGTTGTATTTAGAAGTTCTTTTCATATTTAAAATGCAATCCAAATCTATCTCAGTAAATAAGAACTATGTAAAAGTAAAATACTGAAAATAATCATCATAAAAGTCCCTACGGTAAATTTACAGAGATAACAACATCGGGATACAAAATATCGAAAATATAGATAAATAGGTAGTAATAAACATGTGTCACCAAAAATATAATAGAAAATGCGTGAAGAAATATACAATAATACAAAATTAGGGAAATATCAGACCTCATGTGTCAAGTTTGCTAGCCTACTGTTGGATAGTATCTAAAAAGGTAAAATTAAAGAATGAGCTAAAAAAACCCTATGTGCTTTTGACAGTGTATAAAAGCATACAGATAAAATACTTTGTTAAAAGTTGCATATAAAATAGGTTTTAAAAACATGAACACTATTCCAATCCATTCACCAAAATGTGTAGGTTCCCCTGAACCATACACCCACTTGTACACCCGGTAAGGATCTTTTACTATAAGGACTTACCCTGTGCACAAAGCAATAGGAGTCTGCGATAAGGTCTTACAAGTCATAAACTAAGCCTGAGATACTTCCTCTATTCATACCCCTAATGATAGTAAAAGTGCATGTATTTCAGTAAGAACATTAATTTAAATTATTTAAATAGTAAAACATGCCATTTATCAGAATCAGATACAAAAATATGGCAACCAGAGATCATGCTAGAAGCATTCGATAATTCAGATATCATGCGATTGAAATATAAATCTCATAATTTTTAAATAGTTTAGACATATAGTCAAAACAGTATTGTGACACCAATAGTAATACACCTGAACCGATCTGAGTAGTCTATGACGGTCACCTGCTCTCAAGTCTGCTTATTATGTTCAGCGGTAGTGCTAGATCCTATGAATCAGAACAATTGAAATAAGAACCCTAATTAAATAAGTAATAAAATTTAATCGAACAATTTACATAAATGTACGAGTAGCTCTCGAAGAACTTAGATGAGACTAAACTGCGGGGTGGGTAGTGCCAGACCTAGACGACCCTTGGTCAGTGTATCTCGTGTACCTTCATAAAATTATAACCTTGGATTAATTCCATAATCAAATCCTGAATAAAAGTGTAGAAATACTAAAAATACTAAACATTTTCAGATTATTGGGCTCAATTCATGGCTTTCGAATCAGAATTTAGCAAAATGAATTGTAAAATTAGACTCGGGACATCGAAAAATATCAAAAGGGAGGTTTAAAAAAATCAATATCGATCAACAGTAAAAGTCAACGCCGATCAATGGTAAAAGTCAACGGTGGTGGTCAATGGTCAAAGTCAATGGCTCAACACGACGTGGCTCATCCCTTGTGTCCAAATCTCAGCACCTTCTTCCATGGAGATACTTTAAGAAATACCTGATCTCCAACCTTAAACTCGATATCCTTTATTCTTTGGTCAACATAAGATTTATGTCTATCAAAGGCCTCTTTTAGGCGATCACAGATCAATCAGACAGTATCCTCAGTCTCATAGACTAATTTTGGACCCAACGTCCTCCTATCATTCAACTCAGTCTAACACATATGAGTACGTCATTTACGTCTATACAGAGACTCATACGATTGCACGTGGATGCTAGCCTAGTAATTGTTGTTGTAAGTGAACTTGGCTAATAGCAGAAAGTCCTCCCAACTACCATGAAAGTCTATCACACAACCCCGTAGCATATCCTTAATAACCTAATCACTCTCTCAGACTGACCATCATTCTACGGATGGAAAATTATACTGAAGTTTAAACGAGTAACCAGAGCCTCATGCAGAGCCTTCCAGAATCTAGAAGTAAATTTCGTGTCTCGATTTGAATAGACAACGGAACACCATGAAGCCTGACAATCTCAAAAATATATAATCTAGCCAGCTTGTCCAAGGAATAATTGACTCGAATAGGAATAAAGTGAGCTAACTTTGTGACTCAATCAACAATCACCCAGACAAAATCCTTTTTAGGAGTCGACGGTAACCCAGACATGAAATCCATCGTAATGGGCTCCCATTTCCACTATGGAATCATAATGGGTTGTAACAGACCAGACATACACTGATGCTCTACCTTGACCTGCTGACAAGTCAGACACCTCACCATATAATCAGAAATATCTTTCTTCATACCAACCCAGTTGTAACGCTCCTTGAGATTCTTGTCAACTTGTCTCCACCAGGATGCATAGCACAAGGACTGTTATGAGCCTCCTTAAGAATGGTCTACCTTAACTCATCATCCTTAGAAACACAGTAACGACCATGGAAGCACATGATACCATCATGATCAAGAGTATACTCCAAACTCGATCCCTGCTCAACTTGCTTGATAATGGTAAGCAAGGAGCAATCAAGTAACTGCTTAGCCTTAATCTCATTGGCTAGGGTTGGCTTAACATGCAACTCTGCTAATAGACTGCCATCATCATACAGGCTCAAACTGGAAAAAAACTCTAAGATCATATATTGTCTTACGACTCAAGGAATTGACCACTACATTGGCCTTGCCCGAACGATCTTTATCTCACAATCATAATCTTTCAGGAGCTCCAACTAGCGATACTACCTCAGATTCAAATCCTTCTGAGTAAGCAGATACTTCAGACTCTTATGGTCGCTATATATATAACACTTCTCTCCATAGAGATAGTGTCTCCATATATTCAAAGCAAAAACCACTCCATCTAACTCCATATCGTGGGTGGGGTAGTTGCACTCATACAACTTTAACTAACGAGACACATAAACTACAACCTTCCCATCCTATATCAGAACACATCCCAATCTAGAACGAGAATAATCACTTAAATTGGAAAAATCCTTCCCTGACTTGGTCTGAATCAACACTGGGGCTTCAATTAAAACCGTATTTAGTTTTTTAAAGCTAGACTACTGAGCTTCAGACCAGACAAATGGGACATCCTTCCTCAACAACTTCATCAAAGAAGTTGCTATGATGGAGAAAGCCTCATCAAAATCACGGTAATAACCTACTAAACCCATGAAGCTATGAATCTTCGAGATGTTCTTGGGTTGCTTCCAACTCAGAATAGCCTTTAATTTACTCAGATCCACCCGAATACCCTCAGTTGATATGATATGTCCTAGAAAAGTCACATCGCTGAGCTAGAACTCACGCTTGCTTAACGTGGAAAACAACTTATGCTCCCTCAAGGTCTGCAAAGCAATTATAAAATACTCAACATACTCTGCTTCGATCCAAGAGTACACCAATATATCATCTATAAACACGACCATAAACTGGTTCATATAAGGTTAAAACATCCTATTTATCAAGTCCATAAAAGCATCAGGGGCATTGGTTAACCCAAACGCCACCACCAAGAACTCATAATGCCCATATCGAGTATGGAAAGCGTTCTTGGAATGTTAGAATCTTTCACCTTGAGTTGATAATAACCAGATCTCAAGTTTATCTTTGAAAAGATAATAGCTCATCTGAACTGGTCAAACAAATCATCGATCTTGGGTAGAGGATATTTGTTTTTAACGTGAACTTCTTCAGCTTCTTGTAATCAATACATAGTCTCAATGTTCCATCTTTGTTCCTGACAAAGAGAACTGGGGCACCCCACAGTGAAATGATGGGACGAATAAATCCCCTATCCAATAACTGTTGGAGTTGGACCTTCAGTTACTTAAGCTCCTTAGGACTATACGGTAAGGAGCCATAGAAACTAGAGTCAAACTGTAATGGACTTCAATTTCAAACCCAACTTCTCTATCTAGTGGTAACCCAAACAACTCTTCGGGGAAGACATCAGGAAACTCCTTAACAATTTAGATTCCCTCTAAAGTAGATCGAGAACCCTAGTATCCAGAATATAAGCGAGAAATGCCTCCAAACCCATCCTGATCATCATTTTAGCTATCAGAGAGGACACAATGTTCGTTAGAAACCCATGACGCTCTCCGATCATTACAATCCTCCTGTCATCATGGGTTTTTAGAACAACTCTCTTGGTCTCACAGTCGAGATTGACTCAATGCTGATCCATCCAATCAATGCCAAGAATCAAGTCAAACTCTTCCAATGGAAACTCCATCAGATCAACCAAGAAGATCTCCCCATGGATCTCTATAGGGAACCCTCTAAAAACTCAATCTAAAATAATAGAATGACCCACATGACTCTAAATTGTCACATGACTCTTGGTATTATCAATCGGGATGTCAAGACCACCAGATAAAAAATGTGATACATAGGAATAGGTAAATCCAATATCAAATCAAGTAATGTATGGAACTAAATGAATAGTAATAGTACATACGATCATATTTGGCCAACACTTATCTTTTTTTAAAATTTTGAAACAATTTTTTTCAAATATTCACCCACATGTTTTTAATTAAATCCAACATTTTTTTTATTAATTTATCCTAGTCGCCCGATTTTTCTTCTTTCTTTAACTATTTCTTTCTTTTTTTTTGTTTCGTACTTTCAAACAAAACTACGTTCAACCATAACCTTCTATCACCCCCATCACTCGCTGTTACCCTCTGTCCCACCTTGTACCGCTCAATCGCCACCGTGAAAATCATCTGTCAACATAACGTCGCTCGTTCAATATTCGATCATTCATAATTTTTTAGTTATGGTTTCGATGGTTAACCTATACTTCCACTTTGACATAATCAATGTCCATTGTCGAACATGAACATTTTGAAGAGGAAACCTTGGCATAGATTCGTACTCCATCAGCTTCTTTTCCAAGCTACCCTCATCGCTATGATTTAATTTTTGGCAGCGATCGCCATTAAGTACGGGGAGTTTTCTCTATCCATTTTTTGTCCTTTAAATTCTTTGTATTAAGGCAATACGCCTTATGTGGGGTAGAGAATTCATTGAATTTCACCTTGCTTATCTATGTGCTTTGATCTTAGTATGCATTGGTTGAATTGGTTAAAAAGTCCATTGAAATTCTTCGTCTTTGTTAAGTATTTTTAGTATGTCATGCTTTCTTGAGATCGTATGATTGTTTGAGTTTGGATATTCATGATAATGGATTGCATAAGTAGAGATTTGAGTAAACTTTATTGTGACTATCCATGACTTTGTTGATTGAAATAGCATAACTCAATGCATTAACACACTTCGGCAATATTTGAGCCTTTATGAGCATGATCTTTATATTTTTCTTTCCACTCTTATTCTTGTTTGATTGAGAGTGTCAAACTAGGCATTGACAATCTAGAACTTTTAGTACAATGTATATCGAGACTAAACAAGAACTTGATGCTTTGAAATGACATGGGCAGTTAGGATTCACCTACTTCTTACCTAAAATGTATACCTTTTCCCCATTAGTTAACCATGATTTAGCCTATTCTCGTTCTTTGTTTTCACCATGATTATAAACCCGTGCCTTTTCCATTTTTCCCTCTCTTCTACCTTTTTTTCATGACAAAGAGTATGAGTTAAAGGTTGCACGATCATGTTTCCACGAAAAAAGAAGAAAAAACAACATTTTAAAAAAAAGCAAAAAAAAAATAAAAAAAAAGGGAAAAATTGAAATAAAATTTGAATGAAAAAAAAAATGGTTGTTTGATGTTTTGGTTGCTTTTATTGACTTAGCTTGTGGACTTGATTTAATTATTTGAAACACTCTTGTCTTGAATCTTAACCTCACTTTAGCCTCATTACAACCCATTTTAAGACCTGATGATGATTGCATCTTGTTCTAATTAAGTAGTGGAGATTTGATTGTATTACAAGCTTATGGAAATGTTTTGTTTGGTTCCAACTTTGAGCATTCTTGCACCCAAAAAAAACATTTAGTGAATTGATTGAGCCTTTGTGAGGCGTTGAGTCAGGTAGCATTGGAGATTTAATAAATGATTGGATGTTATGATTTTGTTTAACTTAATCCAACTTAAGCTTTCCAATAGATTGATATCTTGACTTGAATAATTTATGTGAAACTTACTTGCATGCGTAGCTTTGATATGAAACAAGGCGGAGGAAAGTAAATTAAGTTTAACTTGTTTGATTGAAGCATAAAACAAGTGAGGGGAAATTTCAAAAGTGTTCTAGATTGACATTATTTACTGGTTAATTTTCCCATGTTAACAATTTATTACTACTGATTTGGTTCTGTTTTGCTTGTTTTTGTGCAGAGGTCTGTTTTTCAGAAAACAACATTAAAAGGAATGATTTTATAGTTTTTATTTTCTAGAATCGTAGTTGGACATATGAGCACGACACTGGGAATGACGTGGAAGTTTCTAGAAGGTCCATTTAGCATTGGGAAGATTCTGGAGGCAACCTAGTCAGCATAATCCGAGGAGATATTTTAGGAAATTTAGTTTAAGTTTGAATTAAAAAATACTTGGAATTATCCTTAAGATTATTTTGCATTTGAATTTATTTGCTATTTTAGGGATTTGAAAACCTATAAAATACCCTCTGAGGGTATGGCTTAGGATATCTTGAATTTACCTTTGTTATTTTGTTTTTAATTTTATAAAAGTTTCCATTTTCTTTCTCATTTCACTTTCCTTTACTTTAGTTTTTACTGCTTTTATAAAATATGCTAAACATGATTTCTATCATGCTTAGCTAATTTTCTTATTAGCAGAGAGCTAGCAATGGCTCAATTCCAAATGTGAGAATTGAAAAGTACTTAATACCCTTCGGGTTATATTCTCGATTTTATATTAAATTAGTTTGGCAATCGACCTTACTTTTAAAAATCAAAACACTTTCATTTCAAAAAGTCGACATTGGTCTGGATGTTGTTCTAATTTATAGTTGGGAGGAAGGATCAACCTTTGGCATATTCGACTTCCTATGAACACACTCAGCGGCAGTTCGCTATGGGAAATCGAGATTGGATTTGATTCTTGTTGCGATAACATAATCCGAGTCGGGCTTTTCCAAAACTTAATTTGATTTGTTCTAACGACTATAGTCATAGTTAGTCCATTTAAGGACCAAATTTTGGAGATAGACTTGGGAATATCAGTTACCAAAGAGAAAAGCAAGTTACAATGGGTTGAGCCTTGTAGACTGTAACAGGTATGAATCCTGGAGTAAAATCCATTTCGATGATCAAAATGAGCTGAATCAAAGCGAAGCTCGAGGTTGTTTTCTATCAATTGGTTTTTCTAAACTTTTATTTTTATTTTCTTTATTTTTGTTTTCTCCTCATTTTATCAAATCACCCCCTTTTATTTACCTTCAGTTATAGTTACCTGGATTAAAATCAACGCAATTCAATATCAGGAATTTCTAAGTCCCTCCGGATCGACTTTTTTCTTCTCTATACTACTCTTATTTCTATTTATTTTTATTTGAGAAAAGAAATTTATTTGATGAGTAAAACAATGCTTGTCAGTGGTTCAGGACATACATTTAAGAATTATGGGGTACTAATGCGCAAGGTCTAGAATTTAGCTGATTCAAGAGCATAGATATTTGAGCAGTAATAAGAAATTATGATGTTGTCATGATTCACTTGCATTCTATCGTTTTAAGCTTTTTCTTCTTTTTCTTTAAAATTTGCAAGTTGCTTAACGTTTAAACACGTCGAATGACATGTTACCTTATGAGGTTATGAGCAATGAGCAAAATTTTAATCTTTAAATTCTTTAATTATCAATTGAACTAAAGGCTCTTTTAAAATTTGAGTTATAGATGATAAGTAACAAGATTACACTCCTCCTAAAAATATATCTATTTGATCTTTAAAATTTTTAAAAAAATTTCTTCCTTAAGATCATTTCACTTGAAACATAAATTTTGTCTTACATGAGACAATTTCCCCTCGAAATATAAATTTTTCCTCGCATGAGATAGTTTTCCTTAAAATAAAATTTGTCTCATTCAAGATAGTTTCTCTTGAAACAAAAGTTTTCTCTTGAAACAAAAGTTTTCTCTCACTTGAGATAGTTTTCCTCAACAGCAATTTTTGTATCACTCAAGACAGTTTCTCTCGGAACAAAATTTTATCTTAGTTGAGAAATTTTTCCTCAAAAATAATTTTCGTCTCACTCAAGACAATTTTCCAAAAAAACATATCACTTGAGATATTTTTTTTCATGAAATGCCGTCTCACTCGAGACAGTTTTCCTACATGACTTAACTCGCAAAGGGGAGTCATCTAAAGTTTGACTTAACTCGCAATGGATGAGTCCTCCACAACTTAGCTCAACTTGCAACAAGGAGGGAATTTTCTATATTTTAAGTATACCTAAAACCATTGCATTCATAACATTACACACATGTCAAAACTTTTGTAGATCTTTTAGTCAATTTCAACTTCACAAAAAAAGATATTAAGTTGAAAGGTGCCTAGGATTGACTTAACTCTTGATTGAGGAGACATCCACAACATAGCTTAACTCTACAAAGACAAGCTATTTTCCCAACTAGTTCTGAGTCAGATTTCAACTTCACAATAAAGGATATCAAACTTGAGGAAAATTAACCTTGACTTAACACGCAATGGAGGAGTCAACAACATCATAGCTTAACTCAACAACAAAGAGTTGTGTCCCAAGCCATATTAACCCTCAGAAGGATCACAAATCTTTAAGTAAAATTTCAAATCCACAATGAAAAATATTGGACTTAAATATAAAACATATTCGAGTTAAATTTTGACTTCACGATGCAGGATATCAGGCTCGAAGAAATTCCAACTTTAACTCAACACTACGAACAAGTCTTCATCTGACTTAACCCGCAGAGGGGATTCACTTGAAGTTTGATTTGATTGTTGAAAAAAAAGCTAAATGTCTCACCATCTAAATAGCAAGCTTGCTTTCAAAAATCAACTATTCTGAAAACTAAACAAAAATTTTATTGACTTTTTATTTTCTTATTTTTGTTATACAGTAATGGAAAAATATGGACAGGTATAGACACTCATTTTTGTCCGGAGTTTTATTTTGAGTTTTAATTATTTTATAATATTATAATATAGCATATTAAAATATATTAACACACAAATATACAAAGTCTTTTAAAAAATATAAGTATTAATATATATATATAGTATATATTTATTCAAAAATATATATAGTTTTTAAATATATTATATTATATTATCATTTTAAAATGTATTATTATTGTTACTAATACTATTTTTAATTTAAATTTTCAGGTTTGGCCTAAGTCCCGATCCAAAGTCAAGCTCTAAATTATCAGATAAGTTCCAACAAAGTCAAGTAGCATGAACTCGAAAAGCCCAGTAGACATGCTCACCTGGCCTAATGAGCGAGCTGTTAGGCCCAGTTGGAATCAATCCAAAATTCCAGAAAGAAAAGGGTCATGATGAGAGCCTAAAAGGAAGCCCAAATTGTTTGACCCAACAAACTAGGAATCCTCACATAGTCATTATCACTGCACAACAGAGTTATTAGACCGAGATAAATTTCAATGATTAGAATCATTAGAGAGATAAGGCTTCTAAACCCTAATAACATTATCACTGGCATTGTATCAAACAAGCCATTGGATCTGATCAAATGATGTAACGTTCAGAAGATATCAACGGACCCCTAACATCACCGTTGAATCGATCATCGACATGTGAGGACCACACGTAGACCAGAACATCGTTTCTAGATTTCTCAAACGTGATTTCGTGAGAGAAAAGGTTTCCAAAGTAAGCAATTATGAAGAACATGGAAATACAGTGAGAAACCAAAACACAAGGTAGAAAGAATTAAAGGGAAATAATCCCTTATCCACATGTGAATCAAAGCAAAAACCAAATTAAGGGAAATGAAACAGTCAACAAAAATCGAACTAAAAAGGAGACAAATCACCATATTAGAGACAAATCGAATGAAAAGAGAAATAAATCAAAATCATTCCCTTGGATTATGTGAATTAATCCTTTAATTTTCGAAGGACAGAAATCCTCCACATGCACTATAAATTCCTGCAAAACGAAAGAGAGAGGACTAAGCTTCCATTCGAAAATGCCCAAGACAAAACAAAAAAACCAAAAATCGAAAAGAGATTGAGAGGGATACTTAGATTCGAAAGCTTTCATTGTCATGGGAGAAGAGACACCGTCGGGAGCTCGAAAGACTGCTTGGAAATCAAAGGGACACTGGATGAAAGGTAAAGGGAGTGAACTTTCGGTTTATATATATGGTGAAGGCCTCCTTTTGGGATTTTAGTGGGTAGATTTAGGTTCAAGGCAGTGAGGGCTTTTGGATGGGCTAGGTCATCGTTCTCTAGCCACCATCCATGATGGCCGGAGGGGTGGCTTGAGTAGCGGCAAGGCGGCGACGGCTCGTCGGGGAAGAGGACCGGAGTTCTATAAAATGGTAGAGATTTTTTAGAGAGAAGAGAGGGTGTTTAGAAGTATTTTTTTTAGAGGATGAAAAAATGAAATAAAAAAGAGAGACGAGGGTCTATTTATGGGGGTTGCTATGTAAATACTAAAATCTTAAATTATTTATGTAATTACTAAACTTTTGAAGTGTAATTTGTTTAGTCCCTATTTTTATAATTCGACTCTAGAATTTAAATCTTATTACAATTTAGTCTATGTTATATATTTTTATTCAAATTGGTGCATTTACGTTTTTTGTTTCGCATTATTTTAATTACTTTTTATTTATTTATTTTATTTCTTATATTTCCCCTCTAATGCTGATTTTATATTTTTAAAAAGGGATTCCCTATAATTTTGAAAAAAATTCGTTAAGGGTAATTAATTCAAATCAGAATTAATTTAAATTTGTGTAAAATTTCAATTTTCGCAACTAAGACAACCGAGTAATCGAATGGTATGGAAAGGGCGATTCGAGGGTCTCATTATTCATCGATTGTAAACAACTCCCGAATCTGACAAATCACCGGTAAAATGCAGATCCAATAAATGACAAGTTCGAGGTGCCCGATCCATCTAATTCGAAATAGGTCAGTGGTGACTCCATCACACAATCCAAGTCGAGACGAGAATCTGAGACTACTATAAAGAACGTTGCGACAAATGTATTATTATTATTTTACAATAATAATAAGTAAGATTATGGTAATGTCGGCTTTTAATTTAATTTAGTTTGACTCAATCTGTTGTGAGATTATACTCAAACTTTACTTGTAGTTGTACATAAACATGCCACTCAATTCATAATACCCGACCTCAAAAAATTTTTGTTGATCGATTACTCTCTCATTAACCCTTGGCCCTATGTTTGTTTTTACATTATGAGTTCATTTTTGCAGTTCATTTTGTTAAATTTTGTCCTGAAAGTCCCATTTTTCATCTTGCATTACTTTATATTGATTTATGTCAAGTAAATTTCAAAATTAATGGTCTTACTCACTAATATTATGTACGAGGTTATCATGTATCTTTGCACTGCTATCTAGTAGACCTAGACCACTTCCTTTTAGTTCAGTTAAAATCCGCTCGTTCGATTCAAGATTCATGTTTCGATTCCATAGGACATAGTACTATCGATTGTGGAAAGCGTAATACTTAGCTAGTACCACTTAACTAATGTCGGTGTGTTCCTTAACTTGAACTATATATTTACTTATTATAATGTGTTCTGTTTTCTTTTCTAATTTAAATATTTATTATGTAAGTATGTCTGGATGCTGAGTATTGTTTTATTTTGCATGATTTGATGGTTGGTATAATTTTTGTTTTGAGACTGTTTACGAAGGTCTCGGGATCATCTTCGAAAGGTAACATCCTCATTCTATTTTCTGATTTCTGTTAAGTTCCTCTTAGGAAGTTAACTAGGAATCTTCTTTGGAGGGTAACACCCTCATCCTAATTTCTATTGTCTGTTTTGGATCTATCTTCAAAAGTTTCAGGTTCCTCCTCGAAAGGTACGATCATGTCTTGTTAGTCTGGAATGGAAGGTAAATTTGTGAACATCTATTATGGTATTTTGAGGGTAAAGTATTTGATTTTACTATTATTTTATTATTATTTTACCTTTATTACATCATGCTTGATTTATATATGTTTTGATATTATTATCTGTTTACACTTAGAGAGCACATTGACCTTTCTAACTGATTATGTTTCTGTCTTACATTTTTAGATTATCAAGACGTATGACCGATTTAGCTATAAGAGGTGTAGTCTTGATTTTACAATGTATGAGGTTAAATCTTTATTTTCAACATCCTTAAACTGTGGCATGACTTTTACTTCTGATGTCGTATTTGAAAAATATTTTTTTAATGATTTATTAAACAAACTTCATTCGTAGATCATTTCTATAATAAACGTGGCTAACTTGATTCAGTTGAATTTATAGGCCAGATCTAGGGGGTTATAAATTGTGTAACAGACAAAGGGATTTTGTATTATAATGTTGTGAAGGAAAGTGGGTGAAAAGGGAACTAGATTTGGTGGATGTTGATGGTGAAGATAGTGTGTTATGTGTTTTGGCTTGTAGTGGATGATCTAAACATATTTTTAACGATATATATGTTAATGACAGAACTTTTGTGTATGGACGGACTTAAATAAAATTTGAAATTCAGACTTCAGGATAGACACTATCTTACCTTGGACTCCATTTACATTCGCCACTAATGGCTTGTGATTTCGAGAATCAATGGTGAATGTATGTGTTATCAACGTGGGCACATAATCACTTGAAATCTAAATTTATATTTTTATGTTAGTTGTTCATTTTACTTATAGTGTATTCTTAAATTTTATTTATACACATTCCATATAAAAAATTATTATTAATATATATGTGCCTATTTGATGCGCTATTGCTGAGAATGATAAGAAACACATCCAAATGTCGGTGTCTTTCCTTGTTTTGGATAATGGATTTTAACTCTTTTATTAATGTGGTACTATATCATCAATCTAACGACACTCAATACAATAATAACTAAACTTAATAAAATGATAACATAAATTATTAAAATTTAACTATTTTAAATTTAATGTAAACAAATATACAAATATAAAAGTAAAGTGGGCATTCCGGTAGTTTACCCTGATTGCATTTATAAAATCTTCAGAAAGTATTGTTTCTTGATTTTAGATTTGACGAGTTTTGGATTATAAATCTAACGGCTTAGCAACTGAAAAGGCAAAAGCTTTACAGCTGAGAATCCATTTAAAAAATTGAATTGAAAACATAGAAAATATTGATAGTTCGTTTATTATTCTATTATAATTAATTTGTCGTTTTACTGTAATCCGTTCCAAATCAATTAATCAATAATATCAATTTTGATTATCTATAAAATCTAAATTATATTCTATATGGGGATAGGCTACAAGGAACTGACAGGTGATGAATTCTTGAAAATTTATAAATTATTATATGAAATCTTTTATATTTTAACCAATAATATATTTTTTCTTATAATTTTAAAAATTTATTCCTAAAGTATTATAAATTTACTCGTAACATAAAATCATTATATGTTATTCACTTTATTTCTTATAACAAAGTAAAATCGAAGTGTTAATCTCAACTATCTTTCCTTTATTTCATTCATTTTCCTTCACTCTCTCACTTCCCAAACATCCCATATTTCATTCATGATTCAAATTTTTATCATCAAGATTGTTTCCATTTCCAGATTCAACGATCCTCATACCACACTTATTCTCAACAAGAAAAATTGTATTCATGAAAACATTAATAAAACTAAACTTGATCTAGGTTTGAATTTTACATTGGCTGGGACCTCCATTGAAAAGGTCCTTGATATTAAGGGCAGCACCAGGGTATCAAATAGCGTTATGAAAACATGATAGCGGTCGAGATATTGTAGTCGTGCCACCGTCAAAAATTGATTTTCATGGTTTTTGTAGTGGGTCACGGATTCACACCAATCTCGGTCGATTGCACCCGCAATTTAACGGGAAACAGACGATTGTGCTGATAACGGGACACAACAACCGTAATTCCAAGACAAAACAAAAACCAACATCTGCTGCAATCAACCGTATATAATACCAAAAAATGAAAATGAAGGGAATATATTCCCTGCAAGTTACAGTCTACAAAAGTCAAAAGCAATATCCAATCTCTTTTCAATTCAAGCCAAAAGTATACTGAAAAGTGAAAAGAAAGAAAAAAAATGACTTACAAGCTCTGTTTTGAAAATCGGACCGGACTGGCCGGTTCAACTGGGAATCGTTGCTTAGTCCGGTTCAATCTAAACCGGTTGAACTGCTATTAGTGAACCGGTCAGAACCGCTGAACCGTTCGAACCGGACCGGCTGAAAACCGGAAAAAACCGAGATTTTTGTTTTTTAAAAAAAAAAAATTAAACCAAACAACGTCGTTTGTTAAACGAGCCAAGTCAAACTCGAGTATTGCTGAGCTCGACTCGAACTTGAAAACTTTAAAAGTAAGCTCAACTCAAACTCACAAGCTAAAAATTATCAAGTTCAACTCAAACTCGAAATATAATATTGAAACTTGAACTCAAAAAGGCTTAAACTCAAAAAAAAATTAGAAGCTCGATTGAAGCCTAAAATTCGAGCTTGATTGAAGTGAAAGAATAGTTCACTCAATGCTCACCAAAAGACTCCATGATTTTGAATGCCAAATTACCTCTATTATTTATAGAAATTAGTTGTGATGCGCTTCTATGTTTCTTAGCAATGTGAGATTATTTTGTTCTCATATTTTTACTCTTTAGACTTTTGGGATGCTCTTCTATGTTTCTTAGCCATGTCAGATTGTTTTTTAAAAAAAATTAATCCAAACAATATCATTTTGTTATGATTTTTTAACCCCAAATGTATTTTTTAATTATAGTTATATAATTATATTTATTATTTAATATGTTTTACCTTAAATATTATGTTGTAGTTAATTTGAATCATTTTGTTTCACTTGATTTTATGGTTTTTAACTTATATATGTTATGACTTGCTTTGAATATGACTTGTGATATAAAAAATTATTTTTTATTAAATATTTTTGGTATTTTTATTTAATTTTTTAAATAATTATGACGTCGTCCGGTTCTTCCGACCGGTGGGACTGGTTCGACCGGTTGAACCAGTGAACCGATAGCATGACCGGTTCGCTAACCGGTCCTATTCTGAAAACCATGCTTACAAGCTTACAAAACATAGACCCTTTAACCAACCATAACCATAAGTTTCACATTCAACTTACCAAAAATCAATCGGGAAGGGGAAAAGCCGAAAAAACAAAGCTCTTGGGTGGAAGTCTTCTGTCCGTCGAGCTTCACCGCCGGTGAAGGAGTAGATCAAGCTTCCCACTTCCATTTAAGAAGGTAAAACTAAAAAATCAAATAATCTATAATCTTTTTTTTTGGTTGCTTAGCTTAGGAATAATAGTTTAGAAAAAAAAAAGATCATCTAGCCATCTAGCTTAGGAACTTCCG